ACCATTCTTGGGTGCCCTGAGCCTAAAGGGATGTAAAGCTAAGGCTAGTGTATTCCTACCATGACATCTAGTTGGGGCCTAAGAGACTAGGACCCTCAAACGATATATAGATTATGGATTTTTTTGAACAACTTAAGGCATTTCAATGTTTATATTTGACAAAAGGATTTAAACAAGCATTATCCTTGCCCTTTAGCCCTGCATGTCTTTGTGTGTTAGAGAGAGAGAGAGAGAGAGAAACTCCCTCCCTTCGTTCAAAGATGTGTAGCTACTAAACCCCTCACCTCTGACTCTGTTATTAAACTGCTGTTGAGAAATGGTGATTACTTCCCTTGAAGTAGTGGCCTCCCTTCTCTTTTCCTATCCATCTAAGATTACATGACAAAATTCTCTAATACCCTTGTAATCTTCTCAAGCCCCTTCACTACATTTTCTTTAAGCTCTCCTCTCACTCCGAAGATTAAGCTTACCTACACAAAAGACTTTGTCCTTCCATACCGTCTATCATCAATCTCCAAAATTCAACCTCGGGTACACTCAAGTTTTCACCATGCCCTCTATTGGTGATTGCACCAGATTAAACTGGATGGCCACTATCTTGATATTATGATCCCACTGCTACCAATCACCCTTGAACAAGAAGTAAATCCATGCAAACAGCCCCTGATATGACCATTTGTAACATTGGGATACTTTATATAAAGAGTGAAGAGGAGCACAGTTAACACAAGAACCACCTCTTGACCACAGAACAATTACTACATCCAGTTAGATACTTGAAAGGAAAAATGTCTTAGACAAAATATCTGATGCTAAAACTATGCATAAATCTGAAATTTTTTTATCGTGCTTAAAAATAAAATATCCACTTAACTGGGACGTAAACTCAGATGCCGCAAGTCAACACCATAAGATGCCCTCAGTCTAGTCCTAATCTCTCAGTGCCATCATACCCATAATTTTGGGCAGATAGTTGATTAAGATCACTTACAATATAGTGAATTCTATCCTGGGTCATAAATTACTTCTATTCATTTTTGTAAGCACGAATCATATATCTATAAATCTAAATATAGATGTGATCATTGTATCTGCATCCCCCTATAAAGTGCCTATGAACAAGCTTCTTGAACATGTTAAGAAACAAACTTCTGCAGTTCTACTTGCCAAACCATAAGTTTGGCAACATTAATATTTGCTCTCTTTGTTTTCTTGTCTTGAAAGAGGGAAATCAGTATCTATACTTTGAAAGAAGAGGGAGAGTCCTATGTGAGTCTTTCAGATCACCTAAAGACTTGGTTGATCATTTAGTGACTCAACAGAATCTTGTGAGAAATCAAGTCACAATGTATGGTAGAGATGATGCAGGACTCGCTTCCAATCGAGCCAAGATGATGCGGGAGTAAAAAGTTGGCATCATTTCAAATTTTCTGTTGACGAACAATGCTATAGAGAACCATATATCCTGTAATTCTTTTTTCATGTTTACTAGCCCTTTACTTTTCAAGTAGGAGGAAACAAAGCCAGGTAGGTATTCATATCCAGCACACAGGAGCTTGTTTAGCAGAAAAAGGGACATATAAAGTTCACTAATCCCCTCACACATGGACAAAGCAGGTACTGTGCAGACTAAAGCAGGTATCATGCTGATCATACCAAACCTGGTATGCCAATAATGGGCAAGCTCGATTCGAACTTTCCATGGAAGTTAGAAATGGAAGAAGAAGCCCCAACATAGGTGTCAAGTTTCTTATGCCCCCATCAGCATACATGAGGATAAAGTTCTCATGATCGACAGCTCATAAAACAGGGATATATATTGAAAAACATGCATCTGTTATGTAAGAGGATGAGAGAACTGTGAGCCATCTGTTAGTTCAGTACATATCTGACTGGGAAGTGAGATCAGGTACTTCTAATTCCCTTAACATGTTTCAGGCTATGCCTAAACTGTCACTGATTTCCTGAAAGTATGGGGAGAAGAAGAACAGTGGAACTGTCTAGTGTTGGAAGTCACTTTTAGCCACATGCCAAAAATTATGGAAATAAACAAAGAACACACCTTTGAAGTCAAGCAATGAAATACGCAAAGAATGTGTTAAGAGTCACTTTGAGCCGTGACAAATAAACATTATCCTTTATATGGTTTACATTAATTAGCTGAATCATCTCCTAAAAAGTGATAATAAAATAACAACAAATTATGACTAAATCCAATCTAGAGTTAATTGTATTCATGCAGAAGGGTTATTTAATCATTTTATGTTCTTTTGTTTAAGTCATATTAATATTTTTCAATCTACTAATTTTAAAGATTTTGAAGTTTGAAGAACTTCTTTGGCTGCACAACACAGTGAAGAACTCTTGGCTCTAATGCGAAATGAGATATGAACAAAGCACAATGGCAAGAGATCATGATACATGCTAAGGAGTTAATAGGGATATATAGGTTACTTACACAAACTCTGCAGAGACGCCATCCTTATTCACATCCCCTGGAAGTTTCCAAACAGCCCTGTATGGCCCCTGTGTTATCTCCCTCATGTGATATACTGGAGCAGAGTATACTGGATCACTAGCATCTCTCCACTCCTGAGTTAAACGTGTGCCCGACAAAACTAGACTGCAAAAGAGTGTTACCAAATGTCAAATAGTGATACAAAAATCTTCTAGAATAATACAAGAATGAATGAAATACTAGGGGTCCTATCTTAAACATCATACCTTTCCAAAAGAACAGAATATGCATGCATTCAAGAACCCCAAACACAAGGAAATCATTACATAAGCACAATCATAGTTACGTCAAGAACTTCAAATGGGTAAATCCATACTTTTTGTCATCCATCTCTACTCGTATCCCACGACTGCCAACACCAGGCAACTCAACTGTAATGATATATTTAGATCCAGATTCCACTATGTCCATCCGCGGAGACCATTCTGCAACTGGATTTTAGTTTAACTTTGCATCACATATCCATCACAAGTAACTCACTAGAAATTACATT